GTACGCTATGAAAGTTACCGTTTGTAACAAGTTCTCAGGGAATCACAATCCTAGAAAAGTAAGTTACCAAACACACTCCAGAAGAAATAGAAATTATTTTCTAACCCGGTGCTTTCCCCTTTTTTCACATGAGTGTGCACATGCACGTGCCCATGGGGACAACCCCCGCGCACACACACATACACAAATCCAATAATATATGACACATGGAGGTAAGCTGAGAAGACTGTCCTCAGCTAGAATGAGGTACTCCTGAACTTAACCCCCAGATGTATCTTGACTAGCTGTTCTTGGTAGTCCCAGTGGTTGTAGGATCCATATCATGGGCTCACCTATAATCGAATCTATGCAAATCAGTGTATGTGTCTTTTTACATACTATAAAAATTACCTGCTAGGAAGCTCTGGCCTTAGATTCATACTCAACTAGTAACTTGCAGTGGGAAAAATATTACCCCAAGTTTAATAGCTTAAGACAGCATGCATTTGTCATGTCACTTTTCTGTGGACCAAGAATCCAAATGTGGTTAATCTGGATCCTCTGGCTCTGGGCACTGAAGAGGTGGCTATAAAGGTGTTAGCAGGACTATTGGCAACTTCTGGGAAGAATCCACTTCTGGGCTCCCTCACTTGGTTGTGGCCAGGTGCCATTTTCCTCCAAGGATTGTAGACCTCGGTTCTCTGGTTGGGTTGGAGCTATCAGTTCCCTGTCACCAGGGCCTCTCTGGAAGTACAGCCTGCTCCAACAATGTGCTTCTCCAATAAAGCAAAGACGGAACAAGTACTTGGTGGAAGTCAGTGTTTTAAAACCTGAGCTCAGAGATGTTGACACATCACTTTTCCTGTTTTCTGTTAGAAGCAAGACATCAGGCACAGCACCCACTGCAGAGGGCTGGAGTGGGGTATTTGTGAGGGGAGGGATATTGGTGGTACACATAAATTAGCAGGTAGAGACCACTGGTGGCTCTCTTAGTCTGCCACCTCACCAGAAGAAATGCAGGTGGTAGAGTTCATGCATATGCTCAGCTTTGCTAGAGAATTTCACGTTACTGTCAAGTGGTGTATGAAATTTATCACTATTATAAGTTCTTATCAGCACATACTGTTGTCAGACCTTTATATTTCCCCCCCGCATCCGGGTACAAACAGAAAAGCATTTTATTTCTGTAGTTTCTAATGAGGTTGAGCACATTTCATGTGTTTATTTACCGCCGTCATTTATTATATGCAGTACTGTTTGCTTTTGTTCCTTTTTTAACTTGTAGATGAATTTCTTTAGAGTCTTGGGTGAAAAACTCTTTTGTGGGTGCTTCTTGGAGTCTGAGCTTCATGCCGGGATCCCACTGCAATTCCTGTTCCAGGGTAACCATGCACAACTGAAATGCAGTAATCCAAAATGCATGTCAGAGGAGATGCATCAGGACTCAGGCTCTGGAGTAATACAACATCGGAAAGGACATTGCGGCCCACATTAAAAAGGTGTTTGACAAGAGGTACAATCCCACCTAGCACTGCATGATGGGGAGAAACTTCGGTAGCTATGTGACACACAAAACCAAGCACTTCATCTATTATCTGGGTGATTCCTTTTTTTTTTTTAAATAATTTATTTATTTATTGAATCACTGTGGGAAAAGTTACAAAGCTTTCAGGTCTAGGTCTCGGTCATGCAAATATCAAACACATTTCCCTTTACCAATACTTATTTTTCACCACGAAGAACCCCAATAAACCCCCACTCCCCACCCCTCCCAATGCCTGTGAGGCAGATGAATTCTAGTTAACACTCTATCTACTTTGACTAGATTCATTGTTTCGATAAAAGATGCACCATTATTATTTAGAGTTTACCCCCCCCCCAAATCAGACATACTGAAAAAGCATTGTGAAATGATTTGCTTTCTACAGCTGGGTTCAAGAATTAAATGATGTCTTGAATCACGGCCGCACGGTTTTGGATTTCTGCTATTTTACTTATTAACCCTGGAAGTATTTCTACTGAGAGTCAGATAATTAAGAGATTGGTTTCTGTGCTCTGGAGTCATGGCCGTGCCCGAGAGCCGCTCCTGGGGGGCAACTGGTGACCTCGGTAGGGCGTGAAGGACGAGCCGGGAACGCCCCCCTTCCCATGAGGTTTTAGTCGCCCCATCACAACTGGCTAATACCTGGCTCTCCATAAAGCTCCCATGCGGCTGCCATCTTTCTTTCCAGAGGGGAGAAGGCGGAAGGGACCAACACCCTTTCCCCTCCAGGCAGACATGGTGGTGTGAATTAACGCATAGTCCATTCACTTTTCTGCTCCAAACTGCTGGGTTCTGCATTAAGTCCGTGTGCTTCTGGGGCCGTGGCCGTGCCGGAGAGCCACTCGTGGGGGGCAACTGGTGACCTCGGTAGGGTGTGAAGGACGAGCTGGGTGATTCTTACGTTTAAATCTGGTTAGAAGCTTGAAATGTGCTGCACCCAGAGATCCATCCAAAACAAGAACAGCAGCCTAAAGGCAAAGCAACCACAGACTGAAATCTTCAGCTCCCCAATCTTTGAACCTTTATTGTGTTGTTTTGTACAGGGCATTTTCTCCACACTGATTTGTTGTGGTTATAAAACAATTAGCAAATCAACTTACATTTGTACTTATTTTCTATTCCATATCTCTCTGCCCATATTTCTTCCTTCTTAAAATCTATTTCTTTCAAAAATTAACTCTCTGGGTAGAGAAGGGAGCACCAAATAAAGGGTGCTGGGAAGATCCTCCCAGGATGGGAGATGCATGCTGAAAGTAGTCTATAGACTGAACATGATTGCCACCCAATGTCTCTTCTGCAGACCACAGCACCCCAAAGGAGAGATAGAACAAAAGGGAGTGCCCTGCCACAGAGGCAGGGTGGGATGAAGTATGGGGGGGGGGGGGTGGGAGGGATACTGGGATTGATGGGGGTGGAGAATGGGCACTGGTGGTGGGATGGGTACTCGATCATTGTATAACTGAAACCCAAGAACAACAACTTGTAAGTCTACAACTGTACCTCATGGTGTTTCACTTATAAAACAACAAGAAAAAAGAAAAAAAAAGAAGGAAAGAAATGTAGCACATAAAGAAAAGTGAAAAGTGCACTCACATATATTAGGTAGGTGTTTCTGTCATTATTTGGATATAAGGAGAAAAATAACCCAAACAAACTAAAAACTAGACCCCATAGGGAAGTGTCCTTTGCCATGTAATTACATGGGTATTAAATGGCAAAGCTGTATTCTTCCAGCTCCACATTGAATGCACTTTCCAATAAACCACTTTTTCCTGAAAAAAAAAAATTAACTCTCTGGGATTGGAGCGACAGCACAGTAGGTAGGGCATTTTCCTTGCATGTAACCGACCCAGGTTCGAATCCCAGCATCCCACATGGTCCCCTGAGCACCACCAGGAGTAATTCCTGAGTGCAGAGCCAGGAGTAACCCCTGAGCATTGCCGGGTGTGACTCAAAAAGCAAAACAAACAAACAAACAAACAAAAACAATCAAAAATTAACTCTGTTGGAGAAGTGAAAAAAAGAAAGAATTTCTTTGTTACTGCTACATGTTCTTCTAATATTTTGCTTTAATTTATAGCACAGCGGTAGGGCGTTTGCCTTACAAGCGGCCAACATGGCTGACCCCAGTTCGATTCCTCCGCCCCTCTCGGAGAGCCCGGCAAGCTACCGAGAGCATCTTGCCCGCACGGCAGAGCCTGGCAAGCTCCCCGTGACTTATTCGATATGCCAGACACAGTAACAACAAAGTCTCCAATGGAGACGTTACTGGGCCCGCTCGAGCAAATCGACGATCAACGGGAGGGCTTTATCTTTATCTTAAAGTTTTGCTTTTAATTTATTGATCTTGAATTGATTTTCATGTAGTGTGAAGTAGGAGGGAGTTCATTTAAACCTCAAAATATGGTAATTAATAAGTACTTATTGAATAACCTGACTCTCCACTTCTCTTCTGCAACACCAGAGGTAAGCTTTCAACATATTTGTGAGTTTTCTGTTTTGGTCCATTGATCTCTATTTGTCTGAACTGAATGTCTGAACATGGTCTTAATTTTAAGAGCTTTATAACAAATTTTAGTTTCTTTCATAGGGTAAATGTTCTTCTCTTGTTCATTTGTTCTTCTCCAGTATTATTTTGGCTATTTTTGACCCTTTGCATTCTCATCTTCTGGAATCAGATAATCAAATTCCATAAACTGAATGCCATTAAATCCTTAGCTCATTTTAGGAAAATATTGTTTATGCTTCTTATAATGTACTATCATTTACTGAATGATCTTTTAGGATTCTATGATGAAGTTTTTTGTTTGCTTTTTGTTTTTGATGAAACAATATAGTTTTTAATTGAAACTTACTTAGGTAAAGGGGAGAAAAAAGAGAGGAAGTAATGTTCAAGAAAGAACATGAGTTTCTCCAGAGCTGAAAAAGCAAAGAGACATAGGGACAAATAAGCAAGACACGTGTTCAAGGAATAAAACAGGTGGACTTAAAGAGCAAGTCTTATGATGAAGTTTTATAATGTGCAAGGATGTGAACAACTTTTGTATATCTAGTCCATCAGTCTTTCTTTACATTGTGCTTTCTATATACTTGTTACAAAAAGTAGATTTGCAATGGTGTATTTTATTTGAGGAATGAATTATTATTATTTTTAATTAAATGTCCCAGGGCTGGAGTGATAGCACAGTGGTAGGGCGTTTGCCTTATAAGTGGTCAACATGTCTGACATGAGTTCGATTCCTCCGCCCCTCTCGGAGAGCCCGGCAAGCTACTAAGAGTATCTCGCCCGCACTGCAGAGTCTGGCAAGCTACCCATGACGTATTCAATATGCCAAACACAGTAACAACAAGTCTCTTGATGGAGACGTTACTGGGCCCGCTCGAGCAAATCAATGAACAACGGGAGGACTGTGACCATGAATTAAATGTCCCTAATACTAACATCAGCATTTTCTTTTCTTACTTTTTTTTTTATTCCCCTCTTGACTGCATCCAGGATCCAAAGAGGAGCTTTTTATAATCTCTTCCCTGGGTCTTATGGAGACTTACTTGCCCTTTCTGTGTTGGTCTATTACAGCACGGTATCAACCTCAAAAGGATTTAGTATTTGTTGTCCTCTTACTCTATTTCTTTATATCCCACATATGAGGGAAATCATTCCATGTCTGATCCTTTCCTCTGAATAATACTTTCCAGGTCAAAAGTGCCAAAAATAAAAATTTAAAAATAATAAGTAAAAGTGAGAATAGTTTCCACCCTCACCAAACACCAGCATTTTCTACCTGGTGTAGAAATGAAGTCCACTGCTGTATTCTGAATGGACTTTGGTTGCTTGGAATCTACATTCCTGAAGAGGGGCGGGCAGGTGGTAGGAAGCAGATTCAGGAGTGCTGGAGTTAAGTTGTTCTAGTAATAAGCATCCTTGTCCCTTAGCCCCTCTGTACCTTAGATAGATATTACTCAGGTCTTCCAATTTCTCTATAAGTATCCTTAATAGACTGTGTTCTATTTAGTCAAAGTTACCTTATAATGTGTTATTATTATGATTAGGAACATTGTGTTTTCTAAATATTTCTTGCTCAAGGACAGATTTTCAATTGTATTTTGTCCATTGATATTGTTTAATGCTATCTTCACTAAATTCTTTCATTAATTCTAATAGTTTTCTATAGAATATCTATTGTGTGTGTTTGTGGTGGGGACAGCGGTGGGTGGTCAGACTATGAAGTAGGAAAAATTGCCTGAAAGTCTAGCCTTAGTTTCTTCATCTATAAAATGGGATGGGAAAAGTAGCAGTTTCATAAGATGTCATGAAGATCAAATGCGTTAATCCAAGTTAAGCAATAGGACACTTAGCTTACTGTGCACAGGAAGTGCCTAATTACTATTAGCTGTTGTTCTTTCATGTCTTCTTTTCTGTTACTTAAGATCTTGTGTTCCTCTCCTGTACGTTCAACCTGATGCCTGAGGCTATTATCAGCGGGGTTTTTTGATCCTGTTTAGATCTTAGATTTGCTTTTAGACTCAGAGCAGTTTTGGATTCCTTCCATGAAATGCAAAACCACACAATTTTGCGTGTAATTTGAGAAAGTTCAAGTTCTCCTTAAAAATGTGCATGACCTTCCCCTGCCTCCAAAATCTTTACGGCACCAGATTAGGAGTCTTGATGAAGATGCTGGACAGAGAGACTGAGTGCGTGCTTTGCTTGCATGAGATCTAAGTTCCATCCTGGGCCCCCCTGTTCTCTGGAGGATCACCAGGAGCAACCCCAAAATACTGAACTAGTGTGACCCTGAGCACTGCTGTGTGTGGCATCCAAATGGGGGGAAATCCCCCCACTGTAGAGACATCCTCCTAATTTTTTAGAGGGGACTAAGCTTCTCTAAGAGGATACCCAAGAATAATTTGTACTTTGTTAGTCTAGGTATGACCTGGTGCCCAGTTCTGACAAGTGAGATTCAATCCAGTTCTTCTGACTTGCTCTTGAATTTCATAAATCAGGGCAAGTCCTTACCTTTCTATTCTTGAGTCTGTGCCTTGCCAGACCAGTCAGGATCCAAATACTGTGATACTTGGCCCTGCCAAGGGAAGGACAGTTCTCTGGGGCTGGGTTTCTCTGTATTAGCACTACTGACACTTTGTTCTAGACAATTTTTCTATTGTGTGTCTGGATGTCAAGACTTCTCTGGTGTGGGTAGCATCTCTGGCCTCTTTTCATTAGGAGCCAAGAGTGGTCCCAAATTTTTTTTTTAATTTTAATTTTATTGAATGCGGTCCTAAATTTTAAGAACTGAAAATTGTCTCCACAGGTTGCCAAATGTTCCCTAGAGAGACACCCTCACCTCAAGTTTAGAATCACTACTTGAGTTTTGCTCTTCAACCTCCGCCTGAGGCCTAGAGTTGGCTCTGCAGTCAGCTTGCCCCTACTATAGCTACAAGCTTTGTTCTCCAAAGACAGCACACTCTGGGCTTATATAGGAAGGTCACTGAAGTTCTTGCAGCATTTTTCTGGTGCCAACAGCTGGCCTGGATGGCCAACTGGTGCTGGAGTGAAATGCCATATCTCTGGCTTTCCTGCAGACGTGGATAAGGGCTGATGTCAGTCTGGGAACCCAACTGGATGCTGTGAAGTTTTGCAAGAGTGGCTGTGCCCTGGGATCTGACTGTGAGAATGTGTTTGTTTTTCTTGGAGAAGGCTCAGGAGCCTTATGTGAGAAAGCCTGTCCATTCCCTATGTAAGCAGAGATAGAGATTTCTGAAGGTGACAAATTGTCCCCTTCCTACTGAAACAAGTCAGGAGTGAGTAGCAGAGCCACAGAACTGCCGCCTTCATAGATGCCAGTTGCACAAAGGAAGTGAGTTTAATGGAGACTGAGAGAGATCTAGGGAGATTGACTGATGGACAGCTTAGAGCAGGGATCAGAAAGAGGGGAGGAACACTGTGTAACACTGTTCAGAGAGAACATGCCAAAGAATTACAGGAGAGAGACAGGAGAGAAAGTATAGGACAAATTGCAGCTTGCAGGATCCTAGCTAATTACAGTGGGGGTCAGAGTGTGCCGCTGGGAGGGTCCAGAACCTGGCAGGTACCCCAGGGGCACAGATAAAGATGTCGGGAGGGAGGGTATCCACTCAAGCAGGAAACAAATAGCACCCTATGACACTAATAAACAAAAACACGTTCTCTCGTGTGACTGTGTAGGGCCTTTCCTTTGCAATGTGATCCAGGGCCCAGGCTGGTTACTCCCTTGTTACTCTCACCTGGGTGTTGCTCTTATACTTCTTGGCATGTATCCCAGCGGCCCAAAAACTATTCTATGTTCATTGCAGCCCTATTCAGAATAGACAAAATCTGAAAACAGCGCCAGTGTCCAAGAATAGATGGTTGGATAAAGAAACTCTGGTATGTATACACCATGGAATATGACTCAGCTATGAGAAAAGATGAGGTCCAGCAATTTGCCACTACCTGGATGGATCTGGAGAGCATCTTGCTGAAGGGGAGGGACAGATACAGAATGATCTCTCTCATATGTGGGGTACAAGGAAACATAGTAAAGGAACAAGAAATACCCAAATGCAATAGAAACTGAGAACTGGTCTTCAGTACGAAGCATATCACTGTAAGGTGAGTGGGAGAGGACCAGGAAATGAGAAATGACTTGGGGCACGTGGGATAACAGTGGTGAGAAGCTGACACTCGTGGAGGATGTGGTGCTGGAATGTTTCATGCACGAAACTCTGCTATTATCAATGTAAACTTTTAAATAAAACCTGAAATTAATTAATTCATTTATAAAGTACCCTGTGCCTAGGTCAGGGACTCAGACATAGGACACATGCCAATCTGTGGCAGGCCCAAGTTTAATCCCAGGCACTTTCCAAAAAACAAAAAGGGAGTGGCTGGAGTGATAGTACAGCAGGTAGGGCGTTTGACTTGCACGTAGCCAACCCGGGTTCGATTCCCAGCATCCCATATGGTCCCCTGAACAGTGCCAGGAGTATTTCCTGAGTACAGAGCCAGGAGCAACCCTTGAGCATTGCTGGGTGTGATCCCCCTCTTTTACTCCCCCTCCAAAAAAAAAAAAACCATAGGAGGAGAGAGGGAGTACCTTTGCCTCTGTTCTGCCACTTTCCAAATGTTCTGCCATTCTCCAAATGTACTAACAGCATTTTGAACCTTGTTTTGTCTCTTATAAAGCAGAGATAAAACGAACATTTCTCCAAGTCTATGAAACTGATTGCAAGTGAAATGTCTGCAAGTAGACTGAGTAGAACGTTTGGAAAAGGCCAGAGCCTTTTTCCTGCAGGTTCCTACAGAGCAGGAACCGAGCGAGCCCAGGCTCACAGAGCTGGTGGGCAGAGGGTGCTGGACTGAAGTTGGGCATTGGGGCTGGGGTTCCCTAAGGAAGGTTTGCTGCATGACACTGGATAAAACTTGAACTTGGGGCTGGAGTGATAGTACAGTGGGTAGAGCATTGGTCTTGCACGAGGCTGACCTGGGTTCAATAACCATCATCCCATATGGTCCTCTCCAAGCACAGCCTGGAGGAATTTCTGAATGCAGATCCAAGAGTAATCCCTGAGCATCACTGTATCACTGGATGTGCCCCAAAAACCAAAAAAAAAAAACACCTTGAACTCATTCGGCAATGATCTTTCTACTTGTAAAACAGGTGGAATCATTCCAACATGCATGTATATATCATAACCTTTGAGATTTTATTTAATTCTCTCTAACAAATATTTAATATGAATGGCAAAAGTTATAAAGAAAAACATAGTTCTCTTTTTTAAATGAAGTAAATAGTTTAATTAGGAAATATGAGAGAGAGAGAGAGAGAGAGAGAGAGAGAGAGAGAGAGAGAGAGAGAGAAGAGAGAAACTCATAAAGCAAAGTATGAAAATCTGTGCAGCTGAGCTGGGATATGGGTGGCCCCAGAATGGAGAGGGAAGAGGAAATAAATCTTAAGAGAGTCTTGGGATGGGGGTGCAAAGAGGGTCCAGAGGTTGGTACATGCTTTACATGCAGTGGGTTCACACAGTCTCAGACACTGCAGGGTACCCTAAGCACCACTGGGTATGGCCCCCACTTCCCTTTTTCCAGAAAAAAAAAAGTCTGGAATTGAATCTGCCTAATTGCTAGGAAAATGAGAACAAAAAATTGGACAGGATTTGTCTTTAAAAAAAAAGAGAGAGATTTGCGTTTTGGAATAGATTTTGTAAAGCAGTGAGGAAGTAAGAGTTTTTCTAATGAGCTGAGGTATTGGTGGGTGTCTGTGATAGATCATTAACAGTGATTATCTCTGGGCAGTGGGACTTAGGGATAATTTTTATTCTCTACTTTTAACTTGTCCAAATTTCCTACAATGAACATGCATGTGTTCTTTTGTAATAAAAGTTGTCCCTGTGCCAAATGTTGTCAATATCCCAAGTAAATGGTGGGTTGCATTACCTTGTTAAAACAAAAATGGAGAAGTATTTGTTTAGTTTTGGGGGGAGGACAAAAAATGTCATGTCTCCTGGAAATCCCCACCGATGACTACACACTTCAGAATTTCAAAATAAGCCACCCTGGAAATGGAAAGATTCTTAAAATGAA